TAGTAATACACAAAAACTATGGATATGAATCAGACATCTTTCTTTGGATTTCTGTACTTGGAATACAGGTTATTCACATTATTTCTACTTTCCAGTTGCTGGAATTCTGATCTGATTGGTAAAAGAATGTACTCTTCAGGGGTTACCTGTATTCCTCATCACTTGAAAGGTTATTGCAGATACTAATTCTGCAGGCTAGACTATGTGTCAGCCTAAGACACACTTAACATTCTCCAAGATTCCTCATAATTCTAAGACACAATATCTTTTCTCACCTTAGATCATCTTTCTCTGTCTGCTTTGCCTATCTTAATTCTATCTAAGATGTAAACCAGGTAGGATTCTCCTCCAATTACTTCATATTGTTGTGAGGAATCATTGAGCATGTGTGTGTACACAGATGTGCATTCAATGAGTGGCACACAGTGGTTGTTTGATTAATTTTTGTCTTATTTTTCTCCACAATAGCAACAGGTCATATTGGTCTTTTCTGATCTCCAGAAATACTTGACTCCCTGATAAAAATTTAACAATTTTTATGCTTATATTTTTCTAGGATTAATGCCTTGTATGATCTTTATGCTTGTTGAAGACTGGCTCCAAAGTTTCCTTTCATTTTTAAAATTTCCCATAGTTTATATAGACAAGAGCTGAACACTTACTGGATTTTCAGTGAACATGGAGAAGGGAAAATTTATAAAGGAGTCAACATAATGTACTTTACAATTACACGGCATTTAATTTTTTATCCCAATTTAAAATTCATGTGTATACCCTAGAAAAGTCGTATTCTTCAGTTTCCTTCTTAAAATATGGAGTCAAACTCTCTACCCTGCCTTTTTAAAGTTTTATTTCTTATTACTGCATTCATCAAAGAATTGGGTAAATGTATGGGACCATGCAAACAGTACCACCACACAGTATTTGGACTTGGTTGTCCATTTAGCTGCAATTTTGCAAGTTCATAATGCAAAGTTTACAATGGAAAGGACAATTACTGAGCAGACCATTCTGATGACAAATGTGTGACATTTCTTCTCTGTCAAAACCCCAACAAATTACAGGCTGCCATAATAACAGTGTAGCAGTTCATTATGCATTATAAGGATTATACTTGCTTAGATCTCAAATGGATAATTAGGAAATTTCAAGTCTCTGGGACACACTGGTCACCTCAGTCCTTCATTAAGATTGTGGCTTGGGGATCAGGTGGCAGCACTCGGGTGCTATTCTGTCATCCTGAGAGAAGCAGAGATTCCCACAGAAATAATTGGGTCAAATTGTTGTAAATACCTTCATTCGGTAACAAGATGGTTATTATTGAGCCAAAGCTTATAATGGCTCTCTCCCTGTTGCAACCTCTAGTTAACCAGTCTAGACTGAATGTAAAATCCAAAAACTACTTAATACCTGCTCCACAGAGGTGTCCAAATTATCCTTCTAAATAGCAAATCCAAACTGTATGACACCTTCTACATTCAAATTACAACCCAAATAGTGCAGCTCAGAAACCAACATCATTTACAATGAAGGCTTTGTTGTTTTCCCTTAAATTTATTCAGCAAGTATTGACTTATTGTCTACTAGGTACCCTTACTGTGCTGTCCAGACCACTAACTCTTCCTTGTTCAGGAGACATTCACTAAACTCTTCTGTCTTTTCTTGACCTGCTCACTTTTGCCTGAAATGCAGTTGCTGCTAAACCCCTGGCAAAATGCTGCCTATCCAGGTTCACTTCAAATAGCAAGTCTTACTGCCAGGTGTATGCGTGCAGGGCTCTGTGGTAACAGATTTCTAGCACATCCTGCTCTCACCTCTAAAATTTTTCTGTCTTAGGAGAGTAGGACCTTTACTTTGGATCACTCACAGCATTTAGCTGTTAGAACTGAAAAATCATAAGAATACATTCACTAATTTGCCACATTCAGTTTATTCACATCATTTGCCAAAAACAAGGGATTTTGGAGAATTGGATCAAATGTTTATGGATTGATTGCTTGGGCTCTCAGTGGTGGCTTTGGTAATGGATTCACGCCAAATCAGTCAAATGTTGGGTTTGTAAAACAAGGCCTCAAGAAAGGGGGCAAGAGAAATAGAAGCATTTTGTTACAGATGTTTTGACTTAATTTTCATAGCAACACTATTGTTTTTTTAATGTGATGTGATTACATATTTATTTATGCTCTTGAAATGCAGTTCAAAAGCAATAGTTTTTTTTTTAAAAACATGACAGTGCACACTGCATATAGATGTTATATAAGGCTATACATAAATTGACTAGTTTTACCGACTAATATATGTGTATAAAAGACATCAGTACAATTGGTTGAAAATTAACAAATATCATCACATCACATTTATTTATTTGTAAGATGTTAAATATCAACAACACTTTCTCTTTTCCTTTTTTTCTCTCCACTCCTGAGATTTGGTTGATTCATTTTACCTTATGCAGGGTAATGTGCTAAAGTATGTCCCCTTTTCTCCTGAGTCAGCACCATTTAATCACCTACTGGCAAGGTTCTGTTTTGGAGTAGTTAGCCTAGAGCACCAATGGCAAGCTTTTTAGGGCTTTCAATGATAATAAACAGCTGGCTATGGCACACATGCCATAGGTTCACCACCAGTGGCCTAGAGAGTGATCCAGTCTAAGGCATACCCAATTCCCGCTTAAGTTCCTGAGTCCCCTTTGGCTGTCTTAATCTTCTGTACTAGCTTGGACCCCTTAGGTGATACCTCTAGGTCTTTGACACTTGTATCTGTGATCTTTGGAGCACAAAGCAGGCCTTAGGTTTTCATAATTGACTGTTTTCTGAGACCTGTTCTGCTTCTCTGACTTCCAGAATCTTCCCCTGACCTCCCAAACAGAAAGCATTAACAAGCCCAAAGGGCCTCCCAATTCTGCCTTATAAAGAAAAATTTTATTCCTCCTCCTAAAATATTTCCCAGAGCATTTTTCACCTGAAGGGCAGGAGGGGAACAGAGTGAATTTTTTTTTTTCTTTTTTACCTGTTCTTTGTCATGTAATGATGTCCTCTCCAGTGTATGCCACTGATGCCAGCTGAGACCCATTCAGTATTGAATAACTGAGTAATTGAGAGATAGGTGATAGATTTCTTTTATACTTTATAGTTTTGAATCTACCAAAAAGTTTAGGTACATACATATGTTCATGTTATTCCAATATACTAAAAGTGATAATTGTCTTAAAGCTAAATATTATTGTCAATCTAAAGTTTAGTTTTAATATGCCTTACAATTGCATAGATTTGCCTAAAGTAAGGGATCAGTTATTCACTTCTCAAAAACATATATGCAAAGAGGGATACAGCAGGTGTTTGTGAAAGATATTAAAGAGCCCAAAGTGGTATTATTTCAAGAGGCAAAAACAAAAACTCTTATAACTTCACCAAGTCCATTCATTTCTCCCTTGATATTTTAAAATAAAGAAATTACTTCTATGAAGGAAATCCATTAATCATTTTAGAGATATATTTACTATATGCCTGATCACTCAAAATGTATAGTTATAGATAACCCTAAGAAGATATATTATTAATGGCATATTTTTGTGTCACACTTTACTGGTTCTGTTTTATGGCATTCGTGTTATAAAATTTATAGAAATTATCAACCCAAGTTAAGGGAAGAAAAAAATTACAAACTACAGGAAAAGAGTTTAACATAATGTAAATATTTTGCATATAACTTAGCCACTAATAATTGAAATTAATTCATTTAATGAGATAGGGAATAATGTAGTTGGTAATCGTTCCTTATTCATATAAGTTTCTCTAATTAACTGCAAAGTAAGCCAGGATGAAAGGAATAATTTGGAAAGAAGTGTTTAATTTTGGTTACATTGGCAAATGCAACAAAGAGAGCCCTTCTTAACTCTTTTACTAATATGAATTTATCAAATTCTGCAGAGGGACGAGATCTTAGAAATTATCTGGTTCAAGTTTCTCACTTTACATCTGTAGGAGATTAGGGCCCAGTCAAAGCAAATGACTGGCTTTTTGGTATGTATCTGATTAGGCATTGAGATGGGACTTGACCCAGCGAATTACTAAATTTGGACCCCGGATTTTTTTGTGTGTGTGTATCACACAGTCTTTAAAGTAAAATCCATTCCAACTCCAAAATGAATTTAAATATTTGAGCTCACTGTAGCTATGTTTTTCCAATGCTTCTCAAAAATGTTTAGGAAAGAACAAATGGGGTTTTATAAGTATGTGACAGCATTTTAAATAGAAGTTTTAGACAACACTGTATTTATATCCAACTTTTCTGGTAATATAGAAGGAGGATTCAACCCAAATCTCTCTTTGTCTGCCCTTTAGTACTGTTATCTTTCTCTGCTACCCGGCATTGTGGTGCTCATTATGCTGCAGAAGGGGCCTCTCTTCACTGTGCTATAGACTTAAGGCACTAGAATGGTTCCAGAGGGCCTGGTCACAGATCTCCCACTTCGTTTGGTTGATTGTCACATAGGTAAGTCATATAAAAAGATTAAAAAGAAAAGATTTGGTAGATAAGAAACAAGTGTGTAGGTGCATGTTCATTTAAGACTAATGCGCATTTATGACTATGGGTTGCAGAAGTAATCTGTCTAGTTTGTGAGAAATTAAATAATCTCCAAAAATTACTACTTCTTGAGTAGGACAGGCCAACTTCTTTCACTGATATTGTATCACAATTATTGCTAACAGCACTTTAAACAATACAGTGTCCACTTTATATAAAAACATAACCATTGAGATATAATGTATGAATATTGACATTCTATTAAAATAATAAAGAAACTGGAGTCATATAACACCCCAGATTTCTTTCTGGTGGTCTAAAAATAATTATTTTTAGTTTCATATGATATAAAATAATGCAAGAAAGTAAATGTTTTAATCATGCTAATATTTTCTATATTTTCATAGATAAAAATACAGTTGTGTCAAAATTTCTATACTTATTACTCAAAAAGTAAAAGTGTATAAACTTACGGCCCTGATGTTTTCAAAATGTCCACCTTCTTTCTCAAAATCAATGGGCTGTCCTTTCAGTGTCCAGTAGAAATTGACATCCAAACTAGCATCATGAATTGCTTTGCAATTAAGGACGATGCTTTCTCCTACTGTTAACTCTGTTCTTTTTGGAGTAAGTTCTATCCTTGTAGGTTCTAAGGAAGCAAAAAATATATTAATGGCACAATAACATAATCAATATAGTGTTTCTCTTCATCTTACATAACTTTAAATAATAGAGAAATATAAGGAATCTATACAATACTTACTGTTCCAAATAAGTGCACCAGATTTTTCACATTGTTAAATTATTATTACATGAAACAGTAGTTTTTTGGATGGTAGGATATTTTACTATGTATTTGTAGAGAACAAATGATTTTAGATTTTAGAGTTCCTGTCCCTATTCAGAAGTCAACTTGAACAAAAAGATAAAGAGACTAAACAACTAGAAGTTACATTCATCATTCTGGAGGAAAAAATGTGAAAAAATGGCAGCTTCTGCCTCTTTATGATCCTTGAAGGATCATCAAGTAAATAAAAACGATTTTTACAGTGAAAATGCTGCACATAATAGAGGGAAGAACACAGAAAAAAAATCCCTTCCTTAAAAGTTATAAGAGGCAAGAGAAAACACCTCCTTCCAAATTAGTATCTCACAGGGATGAGAATAAAATCCTACTGGGACACCAACTTGTACTAGCTTTGAATACCTCAAAACTCTGAGTAGAAAACTAGTAGAAGAGGCACCTTCTGGATAGTTATAAAATATCACTTCTGATAGATTATAGTTGGGTTACTTGAGCTATATAAAAAAGATAAAAACACTAAATTTGAAATGTTTCTTGAGAAAAAATTGTTCACCTAGTGATTCTGCTAAATTAAAAAAAAAACTTTTTTTAAAAACTGGATTTATAGCAACTCTGAATGAATAAAGGCTAATACAGCTGCTAGTCTCAGGGTTAAGTGGGTGGTTAAATGACTGCAATATGGTGTGTTTTGAATACAATACAGAGGTGATAAAACAAGATTTTGATTTTATCGTTGTACTAATTAGATTCTTTGGTGTAGATACCACAGGAAGATTGACATAGTGATTAAAAAGGAGTTTAACCTTATAATTTTGCAAACAGTAGAGATAAAATAGGCACCTGATAAAGTACCTCTCCTAACCATTTATCAAATCTTTTAATATCCAAAGACAATTCTAGCACAAGAATGCCACTATAAATGTTAAGATGGTACAGGCCAAATACTCAGAATGAGATTTTAAGTTGTGCTTCATCAGAGAAGACAGTGACAGACTACCCTGTAGTTTAAACTTTGAGAATTGAAATGCTCTGAGTAAATATGTATCTATTTAATACATGACTGACAGAAAACATTTGTTATTAAAATCTGTGGTTTCAGCACTAACTCATTATGAAAACGATTAACACACAGCAGGAATAAGAGGAAGAATGAAAGATTGGGTTGGATCCTGATAATATAGGATATAAATGAACACATTTTTTAACTTATGTTATTTCCTTCCCTTGATATTTGACTCTTTTCTAAGCTTCCAGAGTGTTGGCTATTATAATTACATTTTCATTTCTAAGGACAGAGAAACATTAACAGTTTCATATTTTTGAGTGTACAGGTTATTAGCATTAAGTACTTCACATTGTCATGAATCATCACTATCATTCACCTCCACAAATATTTTCCCTTTCGAAAGTAAAAATGCTCATATTTTTATGGACAAAGTATATTTGACTGTCTAATATATGCACAGTGAAAATATTAGGATATAGTTCAGTTGTAAAAAATATTTGTTAACTGGAGAAATCCTGCCACCTAAGATATAAAATATTTTATTACTAAACAAAATCATGTAGTTTCAAAAGAATATTCTTTGTTTGAAATTTAGTTTATTTAGAACTAGAAAATGAATAAACATATAAGCAGTGATATTTATTATGTTAAAATGAGTAAACATATAAGCAGTGATATTTATTAAGTTAAAATAAAGACATACAAAATTTCCATTGAAGCAAACATCAATGAACAGCTCTGGTAACAATTTATCTGGTGTATATACTTCCACCACTCATTGATTTCCTCTGCTACACTTCTGTTCTTCAAATCCCCAGTCCAAGTGGCAACAAAGGAGTATTCCTGACTGATGCTAGAATTATTTTTGCTAGAAAAAAAAATTTTTTTTTTGGTGTTGGGGATCCAATCTAAGATTCCCAACAAGCTATTCATGTGCTCTACCATGGAGCAAGATCACCAGCTCGGGTGGAGGAAAAATAATTGAATTCTGTGAGCATTCATGTTAACATTTTGAAACAGTGAATAAAACTTTGAAAAACTTTTTTTATCCTCTCAAAAAATTATTCAAAGCAAAATATCCAAATTTCCATTAATAATCAGTTCCTTCCTGTTTGATTCCTTAAAGGATGGAAAAGGATAATTTGGCTGTTTGTTCTATATTTGCAATGCATTTTAGAAATAAGAGCATGCACATACATAAATGTAAACATATATATGTGATATCTTATTTTCCTTCTGATAAGGTCATGAAAGTATGCCTACAAAACATTTAGCTACATTTTCTTACCTTTTACAGACACTGAAGCTACAATTTCAGCAGAACCAAAGATGTTTTCCCCTTTGCAAACGTAGTTTCCCTCATCTGATTTAGATGCATTTAGGATCCGTAGATTCCCGTCTGGAAGAATAGCTAGTCTGAAAATTATTAGAAAGGTTTTTTTTTTTTTCCTCCTGTTTTACCACAAATCAACTAAACAATAAGAAACTCCAATGAGATCTGAAACCACTTCTAAGGTAATAAGATAAAGGATCACTGTGAAAATATGCAGGGATAGTAGAAATGTTTCACCCTTTAACATATTATTCAGTACACTCATTTAATATCTTCTTATATTCAAAAGAGGTAGTTACAGATTATGTTTCTTTTGACGGTTTTTGACAGTTAATTTCATAACTTGTAGGAATAAGTGACCTTGAATTTGCTTATTATAACTTGTTACTATAATATCACCTAGCAGTATTTTAATATTAAGCTTGAGAATTTTACCTCAAACCAAGAGCGACCTCAAAAATCAAATATAAACAGGAACAGCAGAAAAACATAGAGGACAAGTACAGAACATAGAGCTAAGTGTATATGGCTGAGAGGAGATTTATAGCAGTTTTTCTGTGTTGCCACGGGTGCAGCAAGGGTATGAAAAGAGACCTGGTAACTGGGCTGTGCACACCATGCTTCCTGAATGTAAGAATGTGATACCTAAGTTTGCATCTGAGTTCTTTTGAGGCCTTTATTAAAAGTGGACCTTCAGTTTTACATAAAGGTGAAAAATTAAAGGATTATTAAAAAATTTTAGAAGTTCAGTGAAAATGAAGTTGGCATTTCAAATTACCATATTCTCCTGGGTATTTATCATTTCTGGAATTTATGGGTTTCAAATTTAATTAGTAATTTGGTTCTTTTCTCCTTCTTATGCTCCTTTAGTAAAACTTGTTATTTCACCAGGGCAAAAACCTCCACAAGCAACCGGTTAACATAGCAGGAGCAACTGCCATGGTTTTAGTGGACATGTTATTAGAGTTTGAACTTAGTTGCTTCCGTAAAAAGGAAGTAGCATATGTTATGAACCAATGACCCCACTGAACTTAAAATCCTAAAGCTGAATCCTTCTATTACTGAGAATAGTTTATGCTATAGCAATATGGTAATATTAAACTATTTAAGATTCAAGAATAATGACTAAATCTGTTTAGTCAAGCTTTTTCTATGTTATTTAAAAATGTATATTCAGTCTTGCCAAACAACCAAAGCTGATGGTTATTTAAAGCACTGAACTTCATAACAAGTGCTCTTAGATTCTAGACTGCTGAAATATTACTTATGAATTTATACTTACATATTGCCATTAATAAAGATACCAGTTTAAAAACATCGTATGGATTTCAATATGGATCAAACTTGATTTATAGTATGTAAGAAGGAAGATGAATTCAGAAACAAGCCAAGGTAAGAATAAAGAAGTTGATTTTGTAGTCTATGTCTAGGAGAGATGTTAGCTTGAGCAACTTGGAAAGCACATTGCCTATAAAGCTATACAATCAATTTAAGATGGTCCATTACAAATTCTGTTCATTATTTAGATAATGATCATTTTTTACCAGAGTAGGATGGGATTAATTTGCTCCATTTCAACCTCAGTGATACACGATATAAAATATATATTTTGAAAGCAAAAACTGGATCATTTTCAAATAGGCATCCTCATAAAAATTTCAGACTGTTGAAATTTAAATTGCTAAATTTTTGAAGATTATTATCTTGATAATATCTGGATTTTACTAACTGGAGTAAATTTTAATGTCTCAGGAGAAAAATTTGGATAAAAGTTCACCTTCTTGAAAGAAATAAGTATGGCACTGGGTGTCATGGCACACACCTGAAATCCCAGCACTTAGGAGGCTGAGGCAGGAAAATCGCCATGAGTTCCAGGACAGCCTTGGTTACATAGTAAGTTCATCACCGGCCTGAACTACATAGAGATATCTTGTCTCAAAACAAACATAACAATAAATGTATCTTAGACATTGGCAATATTTTCACTCTTGATTTAAGATAAGTGCTTTTTTCACTGACAGGAAGAAACATAGTCTCTTGAACTCCTCCGTACTTTAGTCCACTGAGCCGCTGGGTGGGATGGAGAATTTTGAATACTGTAATACTTACCTGTCAAGTATTGTCATTTAATCAAAACTTTAACTTAGAAAAGAAAATTAAGACTAGAAAATGTATGTTTTATTATTGCACATATAATTACTTAGTAATTACCCATGGAACTAGCATTTCATTCAGATTTTAGCCTCTTTATAGTAATGTCTATAATAATTGTTTGTTCATAGTATGAGTCTATTTATTTTGCGTGTACTTAGCCAATTGTACCATGCTTTCATTTCAAAAAGATTATTTGCTCTAGACTGATTGTTTGAGGCTCCCCTCATTTGAATAATGATAGTCCCATCCTTGGAGATGAGGTCTTTGGGTGGTAATTAGGGCTTGAGTCTGGGGCTCTCATGATAGGATTAGTTGCCTTACACAAAGAGAAATGAATTTTCTTTTTCCCTCTATGCTCTCTTCCATGTGAAGATACAAGAAGATGGCCATTTTCACACCAAGAAGGTGCCCTCACCAGAACCCTGTTGGATTTCCTAGCCTCCAGAACCATGGGAAATAAATGATTAAACTACCCAGGCTATGGTAATTTGTCATGGTAGCCCAAACTAAGACACTCTTCGATTTCCTCACCTTTACTTCATTGTTAAAACTCAATTTGCCATATATGTGTAAGCCAATTTCTTGGCTGTCTCTATTGTACCACTAATTATACTATAATTTCAAAATTATAGTATAATATTATAAGACATTAATAGTGTGCTACAGTTTGCGTCTTAAATGTCCTGCTCAGGTCCATGTGTTAAATGTGTGGTTCTCGGGGTGGCACCATGGGTAAGGTGTGGAAACTTTAAGAGGGGAGGGCCTGTGGAAAGTCTTTAGGTAATTGTAGGTGTCCTCTTGCAGGTGATTGTGGGTTCTTGTATCCTTTGCATTCTTGTTTCTATCTTATTTTACTCTGCAACAGGCTGCTGCAATGATATGTTGCCTTGCTATAGGCTCAAAAGCCTTGTTATAGTCTCAAAAGCAATGTAGCCAATTGATCATGAACTGGAACCTCCAACATTCTGGGCAAAAAAGGAACTCTTCTAAATAAATTATCTCAAGTGTTTTGTTAATGGCTTATTACCCTGTATTTCAAATTTTTATTGCAAATCAAAACTCTTATATGAGTGGAATCTTACAGCATGAGTTTAGAGATCAGACTCTTCTGCCACTCAGCTTAATTCCCTAGAGATTTATCCAAAGGGTTGCTTATATCAGCAGTTTATTTTTATTTCTGAGTAGTATTCAATGGTATGGCTCTAGCATATTTGCCTAGCTAATTCACCTGTTGAAAGACATGTGGGAAAGTTTTACTTTTTGGCCTTACAGATAAAATTGGTATGATCATTCATATACATATTTTTGCATGAATGTTAAGTTTTTATTTCCTTGGAATAAATGCTTGAAGATACTTGCTAAATCATATAATAACTACATACATAGTTCTACAAGAATTTTCAAAACTAGTGCAGATGTACCATATTACATTCATTAACCTCAATGTAATACTTTTTAAAACATTTCAGATAATATTTTTGCATCTCTTTGCAGTATATTATGGTAATTTAAAACATACATACAATGTGTAATAATCAAATAAGAGCATGTCTATCTGTTCAAGCATTAATAATTTTTGTATGTTGTGAATTTTATATGCTTTTATTCACTTTGAAATGTCATTGTTTTAACCAATAGTTAGAATACGCTACTGTGCTACTGAGAACCAGAAATAATTCTTCCTATCCCACTATGGATTGGTGCCTGCCCCTTATTTAACGTGACTTTCTCTTCACCTTTACACTACCCTTCCCAGTATAGTAAATGTTATTCCACTCCATTCTTATTTGAGATCATTTTTTTTTAAAGTTTCTATATGTGGTATTTGTGTTTCTCTGCCTGCCTTATTTCATTTACTATAATGACCTCCAGTTCCATCCATTTTGCTACAAATGACAGGATCCCATTCTTTTTTATGACTAATATTCCATTATACACATAAATATTATAAATATATAATATATAAATAATATATATTCTTGTTTTATTAGATATTTATAATTAAAGTAGTTTATAATGATCTTGAGGAATGGTTACATTTGTACATTACAGCTTTTTTAAAATCCCCTTCCACTTCCCTCCCCCCTCCTCCTCTGATTCCCTAATCACCTTTTTCGTACCTGTTAATACTATTTGTTTTAGCATATATTATGGCTTATAATACTTACATTGATTAGAGTTATTAGGTTCCTGTACATGCCATGTCTTTATTTCTGTCGTATCCCTCTCCCCCCTTACCTCTCTCCTTGTTCCCTTGGAGCATATCACAGATGAGTAATTACATTTTCCTTATCCATTCATATACTAATGTACAGCTAGGTTGATTCCATATTTTAGCTATTGTGAATAGTGCTGCAATCCATAAGGAAGTGTAAGTATCTCTTCAGTAAATGAATTCCTCTCTTGGATATGTGCCAAGAGGTGAAATTATTGGATTGCATGGTGGTTCTGTTTTTAGCTTTAAAGAATTTCTATACCATTTTTCATAATGGCTCTACTATTTTATATTCCCACTATAGTATATCAGTTTCCATTTTCTACATCTTTGCTAGTGTTTTTATTGTCTTTTTGATGATAACCATTTTAACTTGGGTATAATGATATCCCTTTGTAATTTCAGTTGTAGTTCCCTGATAATTATTGAGAATGAGTACTTTATATATTCTTTGGCCATATGTAAGTATTATTTTGCAAAATTTCTGTACAGAGCTTTAGTCCATTTTTATCTGGATTATTTGCTCATGTGTGCATGTATAAACCTTTCCTAGTTCCTTATATATTATGGATATTAGTTCCTTATCAGATTAATTGATTGCAAATATTATCTTCAGTTCTTTAGATTCTCTCATTATTTTCTGTGTAGAAGTTTCTTAGTTTGATATAATCCCATTTGTCTAGTTTCACTTTTATTACCAATGTCTTTGAGATC